CCTCCCGAGCATCCACTCGAAGGGCTCAAACCCCATGTTTCCAACTCCCGTATCACATTTAATTGTCGCTCAGTAATGACTGTACAAACGTCATTCCTACTGAGACAATACCGTACGCGGCAAGCTTCGCTGCTAGCATGCCTCTTGAGAGTTAACGTCAGACGGGGCCGCCGGGGAATGCTCTCCAAGAATATAACCGAAGCCACACCGCCCTGTCAATAAACATATTTTTGGTTGCTATAGCAAAGCCAGCATGCAATTAAAAAGTGCTCTCGCACTTCAGGGCCCTCTCCTTTCTCAGCGGCTTTGCGGACTCGCTCCGTTCCTACCGAAATCAGACCCTGACTTTGCTTCAGCTGTGCGAACGCCGCATCAGCGGCCAGGCAGGGACACGGCAGGTGCGAGGACGCGGATCCCAATCGCTTGTCCCGTGTTCTATAAATAGGGAGAGAGAAAATAGATGAAAGGCACCCAGCCCCAGCGCTTGCTCGCACCCGGGCTCGCTGGCCGCGGTCTGACTTCTCCCCAAGGGCTTTGTATCAGCCCGGACCCAGTGGCGAAGCGTTCCCTTTCTCTTCTTAACGAAGGCGCTATTTTTTTTCGGTCAAAAGAGACAAGAAAAACTCTAGCGCAAGAGAAATCAAACCAGTGCGGTTTCCTGGCGTTACATTCTGTCTGTTGCTGATTTCCAAGCGCTAAAGCGTATTGCAACGTGCAGCCAAAACGTGTCCAGACCATGCTGAGAAAATAAATCTGGCTCCACGTAAGAGTTCAAAGACGCCTTCGCAAAGCTGACAGGGGAAAAAAAGAACAGACGGAAGGGGCATATTAGCAGCCTTCCCCTCCCACCCCGGAGGCCTGAACGACACGTCCTAAGGACTTTGCAAGCTGCCGTGCCACTTCAACAGGGTGAACGCCTGCAGCTCGTGACACGGCAGAGCTGTGAATGTCAAGCAGATCCAAATATCATAACCAAGTGGCTAAATCCCTTTGCTGGCCCTTGGGTCCCAAAGAGTTTCGTGCAGTTCTGGTTTTCCGCAGAAGCTGGCCGTCAGGAATAAAGGCCGCCGACGCTCGCCACGTCTATCACGCTTCATTAGGCTGCACAAATAATGGATCCTCACAACAGGAAGCCTTCACGCTGCGAGAAACGGCTTTGCTTGTGAAGCTTATTTTAGAACACAGAACGGCTTGCCAAGGGAAGGAAGAGGAACCCCATCATGTAGGTAATTTAAAACTCATCCAGGCAGAGCTCTGGAGATAGGACAGCTTTCTGTGGCCTATAGGATGACCAGCGTGGGCCGTTTCCCCTTCAATCACGATGACAATCGTGTCGTTGTCAGGATGCCAAACCCAAGTCCAAGCGCCTCGGAGCTGCAGACTTTGTGTCCGAGCAGCCGTGACCATCGCGTCCCGTTGGAGGGTTTAGAGGAATCATAGAATGCTTTGGGTTGGAAGGGACCTTGAGAGATCATCGAGCCCAACCCCCCTGCAGCGAGCAGGGATTGAACCAGCGGCATTAGCCTTTTAACGATGGAAACCTCACTCCAAACGCAACTCTCGAAAGCATCTGTAGCTGAGGGGGAGGGGAAAAAAAAAAAACCAAACCAAAAAACAGCAGCCACAAATGAATTAAGATGCCACGGTCCATTGCTCTTAAAAGGGCGAAGGATGAGGTCACGGCTGGGCTGACGCGCAGCCAGGCCAGCAGTTCATCCATCTCTTGTGCCAGAGCACGTACCGCTGGCTGCCGCGGCGCACGCTGCATCGGGGCTTGGCTACGCATCTCCCTCCGCTCCTGCGGAGGCAAGGGGAGCGAGGGGCATCCTCGGGGGCCCGCACGGCCCGGCTGGGATCCCGGGAACAGCAGAGCCAGGAATCCGCTCTGCTGTGCCCAGGCATTCCGGCTCAAAAGGAGCGAGGGGGGACACGAGAGCGATGCGAGGCCAAAGCGGAGCGGGCAGGGAGGGAAGGGCACCTCCCGACAACTCCTGCCGAGCAAACCTCCCGTCGGCCCGGCTGGCGAGAAAACAACGCTTCCTTATTGCGGAGAAATGTCAGCCTTGCAAAGCCTGTTGTCCTTCTGCCGGGGAACGAAGCGGAGTGCGACCGACATTCTTTGAAAGCGCGAAAGGAGAACAGCCAGCGGCTTTGTGGCCAGTGGGCAGAGAGCACGCGCTGGAATTCGGGCCTGACTCAGAGCAGACAGATGCCCTCCGCGCCGGCTCTCCAGCCTCCCTGCGGGCAGCGAGCCCTTATTTACAAAGTCAAACAGCACCGAGGGGAGATTCCGGGGGGCAAACGCCGCAGTTTTGCTTTAGAGGGGCTGTGCGGCGCGAGCTCAGGCCTGGTTCTCGTCTGCCCCACGCGCAAGCACAATCGTCAGAGACTCTGGGCAAAGCATCGCTCAAATTCCACCCTGATCCGACGCGCTGTCCAACAAAATGTTTTGTCCTAAGAGATAAATTTCCACTATGAATCAGTGCTGCGGGGCGGGAGGAAGCCTGCTCTGTTGAGAAATTTCTGCTCTTAAACTTAAGTGCGGCAAAGCACATTTAGCAGCCAGAAAGAGGATCACGAGTGGCCACCCCCCAATATGCGAAGCCAAATGGAGACTTGCGACTTCACTCCGAAGAACTGGGGATTTCTGCTTCTGCTTGGAACGGCAAAAAGCTTTTTCTTTAAATTCCCCTGAAGAAAATGGCAAACAGAATCCCCTTTTGCTTCAGTCTGAATGCATCATTTCAATAAAACCTGAGTATTTCGCTCTAATTTTATATTATAAAATTTTCAAAACAAAACCCAGGCCTTTCTGATACTGGCTGATTTTTCCCTGCCTGCATTTTTCTCCCCCAAAACCACGGTGAAGCCACCCTAATTTCATATAGTATCTCACTTGGATTAGAATTACATTTCCCAAGGGCTTTTTTTGGGGGACCAGTTTTAGAGATCAACCTAAGATATTTGCTTTTTCTTTTGAATCAACACTGGGCTCTTCCTTCTGTATTTCTGAGCCTTGAAGTCTCTCTTGTTATTTTCAAGCGTTCCTCCATAACCAGGAAGGACAGAAAATTCCCCCTACATCCTCTCGAAGCCAAGACATGCATGCTGTTCCTTAGCCCCAGCACTCACATGCCTTAAGAAACAGAGGGACTGTGAGGTTTCCAGTAAAATCGCTTCAGCTGGCAACGCCGCTTCCGCTGTGGACTCGAACAGTCTGTAACCAGAAGGCAGTCCCTGCGATAGTCTTCATGCCAGCCCGCAACGCACTGCGACTCACCGCTACCGCTGGGATCTGTGGTCCCAGCGCAGAGCTGGAGCCACCTTTGGGAGAGCAGGGGAAGAGGTGGGAGATGATTTTTGGAGGAGAGGGTTCCCCCCACCGCCTTCCACGTGTAGGAGCTTGGAAACAAGGACGCAAGGATCGAAGGTGGTTGCAGAAAGGTCCCTGCCTTCAGACTACCCTTAGCTGTTTAAAACCTAGGTGTCCAACCTCCTCGTACAGTCAGCAGAGAAGGAAGAGCAGCTCCCAGGGGCTGTTCGTGCCAGGCGATCCTGGAGGGGAGGAGATGAGTCAGCCTCTGCAGATGACCATCTCTCTCCTGCGACTAGAGAGCTAGCTTAACCCAAGCATGCCTGGATCCTCCTCTGGCTGAAGTCAGGCAGGATACAAGGCAAGCTTGATAGCCCAGGCTGCATTTCATGGCACCTAAAGTGACCTCCTGAAGGTTTATAAGGATTTGGGAGATTCGAAAGACAGGACAAGACCCCAATATAGTTATGTCCAGCACTAGCACTTCCTTCCGTACAGGGTCGCGGGCAACCTTGGTCCTCGGAAGGAGTCACACTGGGGGTGCATAAGGACACCCGCACGTGGACTTTCCTCCTGACTCGTTTGAAGCAAGGTATTCCCTAGGGAAGTGACAAGGTGAGCAGGGCCCACTTATCACTTCTCATGGTAGCTGTAGGGAATCCGACAGCTACCCTGAGAGCCTGCTGAAAGCTTTAGGAAACTCTCCCCGGTTCTTATTACAGTCCAGAAACACATGCAGGCCTTGGCTGAATAAGCCTGCTGGATCTGGCCTTCCACGTGCTGCTCAGTACGTGACAGCGCTCGACTTGCAGACAAAGCGGAGAGAAAATATTGAGATCTAGACATGAAAATTTACGCAGTAGGTCAAGCACCAAGTCTGTGAAATAGGCATGAAATCACTCCCAAGCCCCTGGTATCTGTTATTTTGATGGTATTGTACACACAGACAATTTATTGCTATGCAATAGGCTCTTTGGCTCACCTTTAAGAGGGCGATTTCTCAGTTGCCGCTCCTGTTGCTAATCTTTAAGAAGGATTTGCACCACTTAATATGACCTGGGAGTAGATTTGGGATCCTGCAGTCATCTTGTTTCACTGTTCTCTTCAGTCCCGTGTTTGCTGTGGGCCACACTGTACCCCAGGATATTCCTTGAAGCCATACAATGCCAGGAATCATACGAACAGAGCAGCAGGGCTTTTGCCAGGAGAGGAAAAGGGGCAGGGGGGCAAAATTACACTTAGCACTCTTAAAAACACCTCACCTATTTACAGCGATGTAACTGCAGCCTGTGGAGAGCAATGAGTGTTTCCGCAGGGCAAATCAGCTCACCCAAACACGCCGGCCTCTCTGCTAGCCTTAAGTGCACTCACAGTCCCCGGGCAGGGAAACTTGCAAGGACACGAATAACTAAGCACGGCTCCAGGCTCTTTAAATTGACTAATTATACACACAGATCCTGCCTTCCAGGCTCCGAGCCTCACCTCTGGCACGGGGGAGGCGGATGGCCCTTTGCTTCCACAGCCGGTGAAGCCCAAGGTATTTTTAAGACACAGCTGAGAGCCTGAATTCCTAAAGTACATAGAGAGGTGTGCAGGCAAAGGTAGGCCCAGCTGGCATGAAACAGCTTGACAGCTAGCTACGGATCCTGCGCTGTTTAAAACTCCTGACAAATAAACACCATCAAGGCTGAAGTAATAGTTTAAAAAAATATTTCATTTTGCTTTTTTAAAAAGAAAGTACATATAGATTTCCATTTCCAACAACAGCAAGAAGTCCAGAACTTTCCAATGACAAGGCAGTTTTATTTCCATAATTGCCTAAAGCAATAATAAACCTAAGCCACACAACACCCGATCAATCATGACAAACAGGGGAAAATTTCTATGGTGTTTATCCGAAGGACAGTCTGTGGGTTCACGATGACTGAAAAAGAATGAAAAGAGCAAAAAAAAAAAAGGTCAGATGACAGCACAAAACCGTTGCGTACCTTTCCGAAGGCTCCCGCTGGCTGAGCTGCGTTAGTCTAAGGCATGCCGAGGCCTGATGGCTTCTAGGAGGGGGTGTGCTAGCAGATGCTGCCACGTTGGCAGGCCGGCTGCATACCACGGGCATGGCATGAGCAAGAGGTCTAGGCAGAGCTCCCGGGGGACTCTGTCAGCCTGGTCAAGGTTTTAGCATCCGTTACATAAAAAAAGGGGCATAATTTTTCTCTCTCTCAGTCATATCTGAGAAGGGGCAGTCATTTGGTAATGAAAAAGCCTGCCACAGGATACTGTTAAGACTTGATAGTATCTGTGATTACATATCCAATATTTAAAGGCTTTGGAAGGAGAACAAGATTGCTTTTCTGCCCAGGATATTTTTTTTTTTCAGCAAGGTCTTTTGCAAGGCTGTCTAAAAAAGGGTGCTGGACCAAGGGCATATTAAGTCACTGTGCTCTGAACACAGTGGGCATGCAGCTGGGGCAGGGGGCTAGGAAAGGGGTGCTGTGCCGCGAGGGGTCCTGGGATATTTGGTTGAGTGAACACTCCCAAGTTATACTTCTCTCCAGCATACTTGAATTCCGTGTTTGCAGTATGCTGAGGCTACCCTTCAACAGAAGCCTTTAGCACTGAAGACGGAGCTGCAGAGGATAAGCTACCTTGTTACCTTGCTTGTTTGGAGTAAAAGTCATGTAGTTATTGCTGAACAATAGATGTGCAAAACATGAAATTACTACTCTTCCCTTAATTGGTTTAGTGGTGGACTTGGTAGTGTTAGGTTAGTGGTTGGACTGGATGATCTTAAAGGTCTTTTCCAACCTGAACTATTCTATGATTCTATGGCAAATGAACCTCCCCCCCCAGGCACTGCCCTTGCATCACGATACCTCCCCCTCCCGGATCCAGCAACAAAACATCAGGGAAGGAAGCTTGGTATTCTTTCCATCTTACTTTTCTTCTTTTGATAGTTGTGCCTCTTCCGAAAGCGCATGTTGATTTTTGGCCATGACTCTGTCTTTTCAATCACAGTAGCCTCCACACGGACGAGATCTTTCCTTAAAAACAAATTTTAAAAGTATCACTTTTTAATTATTTACATTCTCCTCCTATCGATGAGCAGGTTTCTGGGGAAACGCGACACACAGATAACCCATCCAGCCTTACAGAGCCTAGATCCACAGAAACTACAAAGTCACCATGGAAGGAGGGAAATCTGTCAGGTTGTTGGCTTCACAGTGCAGAACCAAAATCCTCAAGGTGCTGTATGTGGATCAGCCAAGTGATGTGACAGTTTGCAGGGCAGTACCTCTCTGTCAGGTGAGGGATAAGATCAGAAACAGCTACGGAGGCAGCAGTAAGACGAACCTGCAGGAACTTGTAGGATTACAGTAAGATAAATTCCCCTGGCATGTTCACATGATCTCATGTGTCCTACTTTGCTTACGGTACAGGTTAAACCCACCCGTGGCTCCTTCTCCTGGGCTATGCTGGTCAACGCAGAAATCCTTCCTCCTTCTATAAAGCATTACAGACAGCTGGAAGAGTCTTCTCACCTTGCTCACCTGCATAAGTCCTGGCAAAGGCTCAGTGAAAAGAGATTTGGCCCACTGTTTCTAGCAGGAAGCACAGCTAATTGGCTGCTGGAGCAAGTCACTTTCCTCCCATACGCCTCTCTTCTGTCTCCCACTCTTGGTCTGTCCTGCTTGTTTACCCCAAATTGGAAGAGAAGACAGGGACTCACTGAGGATGTCATGTACTGCTCCCCATGCCGCAGCTGGGGGAGTTCAGGTTGAGCAGTGAGACCACTCAGACTCAAATTATTTCTAGATCTCATTTCTACACATGGAAATTCTCAGCAAGTAAACATCCTCTCTCCCCGAGGATGGAGATGAAGAGAAGAATATGTCCTGTACTTCCTTCACAGGTGAGTAAAAATCAGAGTAATTCATCCCTCTACGTTACCTTACCAACACATGCAAACACACCTCCTGCCCACCCAGGGATTCTGCAGAGCTCCGAGAGAAGAAGTCCCGCTGAAGTTAGAAAAAGAGTGCTGGGATTTCTAGCTGCTATCTGAAAAGCGCCAGAGCTGGAAAACGAGGTGGTCTGAAGCACACGCTGGAGGACCAGCTACCTGTCTGCACAACAACTCCTCTCTGGGGAGATAAGTGCCTCCAGACAAGAGCCAGACGAAAGCTTTGGAGATCGTGGTTTTAATCAACAGCCACAATGGAGGAGGAAGAGCCACTCTTTCACGCAGCACCACTGCAGAATACCATTAAAAACTGATTAGCATGCTCACTTTGCTGCCGGAAGACATTTAAAGAACATTTTCCTGACAAACGACTCTGTCTGCACTTAAGGGGGGTAGACGGGGCAAGCCCATCTAGCCTAACTCTTCCAGCAAGGTCACTAGGAGGCCAAAGGCTTTGAGACATTTACCATCTCCCTCATATATTACACCCCAGAGGGTAAATGTAAGAGAGAGTGACTCCTTGAGGGAGGAGGGGAGGACAGCCAGAGGAGAAAACTGATATATATGCGTTGAGTGACTAGCCCAGAGGAAAACAGACGTAAAATAATCTAGATTTTAAGAGACCACTGGGTGACCCTGACATCCTGGCTAAAGGCTGTTATCCAGATTCAGCCCAGTGATAGGACCCAACAGCACTACTGAAATACACAGCAAGCTTTGCAACACTCGGAAAGAAACCAACAAATGAACCACACTCCGGGTGCTGGCCGTGTTTTCCCCACTATAATTAGGGAGGTACACTTGCTGGGTCTAATTCCTGCCCACTGAAGGCAACAGGAAAGCTAAACGCCCACTGGCTTCTCACAGGCCTGGACTGTAAAGGCATGTAAGCAACTCACTAACGATGATCACATGGGAGAACTGGAAAGCGGCCAGGCCAGATAAAGCGACCCGGTCACTGAAATCTCTGTGCTGCTCTCAGGAGAGCCAGGGTTTGCAGTAGCACAGCCAAGCTAAATCTGACACAGCTCTCACCACTGGACCACGCTAGCTGTCCTAGGCCTTGAGCAGTATCCAGCCAAAAGGAGAAACGTTGACACAGATCTGTAGATAAGTGTCCCCCCCACATCGCTCACAGATGTTGACATGCTTTCAAGCAAATCTTATGGGTATTGTTGAGACGTAGTTGAGTATCCAAGCGTAGCTTCACTCTGCAAGTCGAAGTTCAAGGCCAACAAGCCCTGGTAAGTCCTCCTCTGTTGGACAAAGCACTGGGACCTGCTGGTTGAAAGGCTGAAGCACAGCAGAAACCAACTTGTTGGTGAAGTGCATATGAACAGAAAAGTTCTCAGCAAAATAGAGCACAAGGAAAAAAAAAAATCTTTATCGAATGTTTTGGGTATGACTGGAATGTCCATAAAAATAAAGAGGGGGTCACACATTTCCCAGAGCCTGACAGACAGTCAGGCCTGCTGCTTTCAGCAGCAAACTGCTTCATGACAAAGCACATCCGTCAGATTTTTGCAGGAGGCAAGAAAAATTCACACTGAAATCTCATAGATCTAGGTTGGGCTGAAAACTATTGTCATTAAGCAGTGAAAAAGATCCAGGCAACCTACAAACTCAAAGGATCCTAACTCTTAGAGGTAATAATTTCAACTGACAAGCTCGCTCGCTCCCTGCAGAAGGTAACTGAATCCCAGCCTGGCTGTCTGGGAGACAAACAGGTCCAAGGCCCTTTGTCATTTCCACTGAAGCCACTGCCAAAATGGGCAGGTAGCAGGAGAAAGAGCAGGGTTCATCTAGAGGAAAAAATTCCCATCAGCTGTACTTTGTCTAGAAATAAGCTAAACTTTCTCATAGAGGCACCATTCATTTCACCCAGGTCTAAAATAGCTGAGGGCACTCAGCTGATGGCCTGAAATGCAAACCTGCCCAAGGTTATGCTCGCTTCTAATCACAGCTTTAAAAGTGCACAACAATTTCTGCATTATACAGCTAAAGAAAGTACAGCTGCATACTGCTTGATACCCTTGTGCCAATCGACCAGACAGCAAGTTACTTGAACAAACACGAAACCCAACAGATTCCAGAGCAGAAGCCAGCTAGAAGTTTCCAGAATAGCCTCTGCCACGCAGATATGTTTTGTTGCGCTGTTGTTTTTTTAAGGCTTTAGAGGAGTGTCATCTTGGGAGGTATCCGACTGCTACAGAAAATTATAACATGACCATCTGTCCAAAACAGGACAAGTTCCTACCCGCCTCCAAGTTTGAACAGGGAGTGCAGCTGTAATGAACTGTCTTGCACAGACACTGGTGCAAGCATTCACTGATGTGTTTATTTTTAAAACAACAGAAAAACAAACCTGCCTTTCTTTGCATCCAACCTCTTATCTCCCCTCCAAAATGTTTGTGGTTTAGGCACAACTGGGGACTATGTGAAAGAACTGCAGTCCACGTTGCCTGTGCCATGCTGGGTTCTGTTTTCCTTTTCCTCAGTCCATATCGGAGAGCCAGGGACTCGGGAGGTTTCCCCACAGCTCGGAGGGAGGATGGCACCTCCCCACCAGCCTTTCATTCTGCCTGGTCAGCCTCCTCTTCCTCCCACTCATCCGCCTCTGCCAAAGTTACTGGAGTTCAAGCTAACACTGGCAGATGTGCAGTTTGGTCTGCTTCAAGCAGCTGACACCGCTTTCCACATGCTTAGAGCACTTGCAGGAACCTAACAGCTATTTTTCTTCCTGTCCCAGAGCTCCTGGGTCTCGGGCCACGTGCCAAGCCCAGCACACGAGCTGCGAGTTGCAGAGAACCGCCCCAGGGCCACTAGCCGAGAGAGCCAGGTGAAGGATGGTGCCCCTAAACTGCCTGACATGGCATATCCCTGTCTGCAGAACTTGGGCTCCTGTTCGAATTTCTGCAAGATGACATTTCTAGTCCTAATAATGAGACTCCCCTTCCTAACATCTTCCACAAGTGCAATATCTGGCAATAATTCAAAGACTCCCGACAATCTGCTATTCCAGATCTATTTGCAGTACTGTTAAAAGGACTGGCAGCCCTCAAAATCCTGTCTAGCACAGGGAACCCGAGGCAGTTACCACCAGTGCAACTGAAGTATGTTATCAACTGTACAAACACGTTACAAGTAACTCTTAAATACCAACAGCCCCCTGGTACCACAGCAAGCACTCTGAAGTGAAACCAATCTGAAACCATGTGGTATTTCTAACCTGAATCTACAAGCCACCAAGAAATAATTCGCAGATGTACAAGTTCCTCCTTATCTGACTATCGTCTGCCAAAGCTGCTGCAGCTCAAGCTAAGACGTAAACATGCAGGTTAGCCTGCAACCAGACCACAGCCAGGGCTTCCAGATACTTTGAGCACCCGCACTCCACCCTATCTTGACTTGTGTTTTACCACTAAAACCTCTTGTCCTGGGGAAAACAACAGTTCATGACTCTGCTTCTGGCTAGTGCTAAGAGCTGAGCAATAACACCTGGTCCACGCACCACTTTTCTTTTGGTAAAGAAAAGGCTGAAGAACCAGGTGTTCTGCCAGTTTGTATAGCAAGTCCTACAGCACTGGGCTGGAGGTGGTGCCAAGGGGGTCAACACCTTCTCCCCAGTTCTGTGATTGCTGGGCTATGTGACTAGGAGGAAGGGAAAATTAGGAACTCTAAAATTAAGGCCTGCTGGGTCAAGACAAGGGCAAAAGGAAATGGGTTAAAAAACCCAAGTCAAATTAAGGGATTAAGGGATGGGAAAGGACTTCTGGGTTAGTCCAAGATGACTATCGCTGAAATTAGGGTAAGGGAGTAATGATGTTGAAGAGCAAGATTTACTGCTAGTTTGTGCAAGGCTTATACCATGAAAAAAAGATCCAACCCAAGAGGTGAATATCCTACAGTTACCTTAGAAATGGGTACCGCTGCTCTACCCTGGCACTGTGGCAATGGCTGGAGTCAGCAGAGGCTGATGAGCTGCTTTTACTGGGGATTCTTTCAAAAGCCACAGGGCTGGGAAAAAAGCTAGGGCTCATAAACCCAGGTTTCTCTTTAGTTTCAGGGACTGCAGGAGCCCTGAAGCTACAATTAAGTCCAGTAACTGTCTTGAAGATAATTCCTGTATGAGACATCTTACCCCAGGAGCGGCCTTCCAATAAGCGTGAAGTCGTCAGCACCAACCAGCAAAACCTATGGAAAATAAATCAGGCATGTATCACTGGTTCATTGTCCCAGTAGAAACGCAAGCAATATCTTCCAAATTCTACAGTCACCGTAAAGGAGTCAAAGTGCTTAAAAATAGGACTTTACACATTTCAAACCCGACACTGTTACTAGAGAGGGATATTGGGAAAAGACAGCTAACAGGCAAGGAACAGATTCACTAAACAGTCTTCCAGGAGAGCTTATCCTACTAAAACATGCTTTAGAAGTATCTTTCGCGTTGATCAGAACACACTGAGCCTTTCTGTTCTGGCTCACCAACAGTTGTAAAAGATATGAAAAGCAATACAGGGAAGAAGAATAATATGCCTTGTGCGGGATCTGAATGAATGGCAGCTCCTAAAATCACTGGATTTTTATAGCAGTTGCTACATATCCCAGTAGAGAAACACTTTCCTCATTTTCCTCCATGAGGCCTCAAGATGGGCAATAAAGAAATGAGCATCTGCGGGGGATTCACCACCCCAGGGACTAGCCCTCTTGTTTCAGAGCATTTCAACCACTTGCCTGTCTAAAGGACCAGGCAGGATAACAGAGAGGATATCATGAGAAGAGGCAGCATTTCTCACAGACTGCCTCCCTCCCCACACTAACCGTATGGCAGCAGTTAAAAGCAACATAAAATGGTCACAAGATGTTCTGACTTTTGTTTTACTTGCCAGTGAAATCCCCAGAGGGTTATGGTGGTTACGCAAGTTCTTCACCTTCTTCACTCCCATCTAGACCTCTGCATTCCTAGCTGGCTGCTCCATGCAAATCACTCTTCTTGTTGTATACAAGGATGCAGGACACAGCTGAAGGCATGCCTAAAAAGCTGCCTCAAAACTGGACTGCAAAGCAATGGATGAGTAGAAACACTGCCCGGCTCTCCTCAACTGCTTGCTTGGCTCGAACAACCAACATTAAGATTAAGCCAACAGAATCCCACTTCATAATCTTTCATTTAAGATTTGGATTAGTGAGCCTCTACAAGTTCCTACTAGTTAACCAAGGCTACGAATAAAGATATTGAATTGCGTCTTGGCAATTCTCCCCTACACACACCATCCCTCTCCCTCCACCCAACACACTCGGCGTGATAAGGATCTTGCAAAGCACTGAGCAGCGACAGTCCCTCTGGGAGTACTGCAAGTATTTTGGGTGTTGGAGTCTCAAGGTAAACACAGTCTTTAGCTGCCGTCTCTAGAAACAAAAACTGTAATTTTCTTTTTTTGGATGAAGTTAGTACAACAAAAATCCGTCTCCTAACACAGTCTGGCACAACTCATTCCAACCCTGTTCAACAGAAATGACAGTAATATTATCACTAACAGAGTAACTGAAATTGGAACAAAACTAAGGCAAAGCAAATAGCTGGAGTAAGAACGGGAGATCCAACAGCAGCTCTTCAGGATGTGTTTTTAAAAACTGGTTATGGGTTTTGCCTCAAGGAATGTCCACAGGCAATATGCTCTGGCCCCATTACACAGCATGGCACGTTACCTTTTCCATCCGGATTCGGTCTCCGCATTCAGCCTCCAGGACATTGTCCATCATAATCAAGTCTTCACTGGTTATTTTCCACTGCTTGCTGGCAAAGTGGACCACAGCAAAGAGCCTTCCGTACTGCCCCGTTGCGATCATCTTGTTCACCTTTTGTACCACTTCTGTTGGCAAACAGCAGGGAAGGAGTCAGTGCAGAAAACCCAGCAAGGTGCGAAGAACTGTTCAAAACTAATTCAGCCGCACTGCTCTCCCACCAAAACTCTTATTTCTGGGAACCTTTAAGCAAGGATCAACAGCAATGTTGTTTCCTACAGGGCGTGAGCCTCCCTTTCGTAAACTTAATGACCTATTTGTATTTTAGTTGCTGGCAGTCCCGTGCATAAGTAAACACCTAACATATATACTGTGCAGCTAATCTAAGACTTGACTTCTCAGCCTATTTCTTAGGCATCCTAAAACGCACCGTATTCAGACAAAGCGTTCCAGAAAAGAGCGCTTGTCCATGCATTTGGAGGGGAGCTCCCCTCAATTTCCAAGTAATACGCAGAAGGCCCAGGACTCCGAATACTGCGTAAGGCACGCAGGAACATCAGGAAGAGTTTGTCAAAGTACACAGGAAAAAGAGCTCCAGCATACTAACAAAGCCTGGCCTAAGAACTTGTACCTGCAGCAAAGACAAGAGAGACCTTTCCCTCACGCTTTTCCAGAAAATCTCTTTCCATATGCACATGCACACAGAGCAGGTGCCAGGAGCAGTACAAATCATGTGAACAAACTCCATTTTCTGTGATCAGCTTCCTGTGCGGTGAAGCCAAAACCAATTTTTATGGGAACATCAAAAAGTATTGCTTAGTGAGTGCCATTCCACTGCCAAATAGCAGCTTTCCACCCTCTTGAGCTGTTCAGAAAAAGAGCAGCTTTTCTGTAACTGGAAAAATAGATTTTCTGCATTGTCCTCAAAAGTGGCTGAATCATTTTTTTCTTGGAATGTAAACAAAACAACATCCACTTGGGACAGACAGGAATTTAGCAGCCAGTCAAACCAAACCCAGCCCTTACAGGAACACACTGAGAGCGTCCAAGCTTCACCCCAGCAGATGCAAACTATTAAAGGCAGAGGTAAGAACAGAAATTATTTGCAAGGCAGTAGTTGCTAGTGGTCAACTACAACAAGTCCAGAGAAAAAACACAACCCCTTCTCTTTGCTGTGCCCTCAATGGCACAACGGGAAAATAAATTTCTTCCAGCTCTAAACTGCTGATCTAGGTATATCAGTAGTCCTGCGGGCAACATTTCAAACCCAAAATTTCAAAATGCTGGCCTACAATTTTCTCTTAGCAAAAAAACCATGCAGAGTCATGCTCTAACAAGGGTTATTTCCTTGTCAAATTTCAACTATCTACCCATGGGGCTTTCTCATCTTTTTGTAACCTAAAAAGGTACATTTTCTTCACTGTACTTGGGCTCTGAAGTTGTTGATAACTCTTCCAAACACCTCTAGTGACAGGAAACATCAAGTGATGTTACCATTTGCTTGTTAGTGTGGTTTGTATCTCAGCACCATGTGGAGCAACCCTTCCTAAAGTATCCATGGCTGTTTCCAGAGCCAGCAGGAAAACAGACGGCAGAATTCAAATGCTCTTGCTGTTATTTGCTTTGGATAAGCACAGCCAGGAGATAATGATGCAAGCTCATAAACAGTAGGAGGTTACAAGGCACGGAAATCACAGCGGTCCCGAGGATCCCATGTGAATCAGTCAGGGGGACATGGGACCCTGGTCACCGCAGGGCTTCAGCAAATCAAACCGAGCGGTTTACGGTTCACTACTGGGTCAAATCACACTCAGGGACAGAACACTCATCTGTCACTTGAGCAATCCCAGGAGCACAGAGGAGATGAAAAGCAGGATGAAAAACAGCCAGAGCAGAGACCTGGAGCAGGAGGCTCTCTGCAAAGCACATCACTCACGCAGTTATTGACACACACCAGCCAGATGACGGGAGACTATCTGCAAAAGGGTGGACACAACTTGGCTTCTCCTCACACTCTCTCCTTGCAAAAGAACTCCCCTCCTTTGCTTCCTGCGCCTCTCCCATCTAAAGCAGAGAAGTCAGGTGCCTTTCCCAGATGTCCCAGAGGCTACTGCAGCGAGACAGTAAGGCTGCCCGTTAATAAACACAGGAGCTCATTGCCTGCATGAGCGCACAACTGCCAATTGCCACCATCGCAGCAACCGTAAAAGAAATTCACCCACTGGAGCTCATTCCTGCCTAGTTCTGAGAAACATCCCATACATGTGTCCTGGTTTCAGCTGGGATAGAGTTAATTTTCTTCCTAGTAGCAGGCACAGTGCTGCGTTTTGGATTTAGTAGGAGAATAACGCTGATAACACGCTGATGGTTTCGTTGTTGCTCAGCACTGCTCATGCCAGGCAAGGACTTTGCAGCTTCCCCTGCTCTGCCAGGGGCACAAGGAGCTGGGAGGGGGCACAGCCAGGCCAGCTGACCCCAACTGCCCCAAGGGCCGTTCCATACCATACGGCATCGTGGGCAGTATAGAAACTGGGGGGGTTGGCCGGGGAGCAGCGATCGCTGCTGGGAACTGGCTGGGCATCGGTCGGCGGGTGGGGAGCAATTGCATTGGGCAGCACTTGTATATTATTATTATTATTCCTTCCTTTTCTATCCTATTATACTGTCTTTATCTCAACCCAGGAATTTTACTTTTTTTTTTTTATCGATTCTCTCCCCCATCCCGCTGAGGAGGGGGCAGTGAGCGAGCAGCTGTGTGGTGTTCAGCTGCCTGCCGGGTTAAACCACAACAGCACGGCTGGCTTCCCCACCACCACCCCTAGCACGGTCTGGATGACGACAGCCCCACCTGGGCAGTACGAGGCTGGACACATACGCCTTCTCCGTATTTGATTTTCACATCCCCACCGGCCAGGGGAATCTGTGTCTGCTTACAAGTGGAAGACTGACATGTTCTAGTAAGGCCAAGCACTGAGGATGGCTGCTAAACAGCTACGGGCACTTCACTCGCTGACTTGTGAGGCTGACCGCTGCCCGGGCCACATGCTCCTCTCAGGAGAACCACTGGCTGCGTTCAGCGGTCCTGACTAGATGTGGGGACAAGAATGCGATCACTAACATCGCGTCACCTCCCAGCTGCTCATTGCCTTATGTCACACCTCTGCGGCTCTGCGATGTGCCCACCATCCAACTGCTTATACTGGCTCCACTGCTCTGTTTCAGGCACTAAAATACACCAGCTCTCTGATGTGCCCACCATCCAACTGCTTACGCTGGCTTTAGCTCTTTCATTTATCCATTAAAGGAAAAATAATTGTTTTCTCCTGTCCAAAAGGCTTGTTTCATGCTTTAGAAAGCAACACATCACATCAGGTAAGATTCCTCTGGGAGTGTTAAAAGCTCTCATAAACTAAGGAGACCTCACATTCTACCCAAATCTCCAATACCAGCAGCTGGAGCACAAGTCCAGTGACACTAACACATGCCAGAGAGACACAAAAATGTGAAGAACAAAATTAGCTCCAATCATTGAAGACACTTATTTATGCTCAATCAGGCCACCAACGGCAATACTGGAGTGCTAGCCTTTGCATACAAGGAGACTTGAGACCTTTACCTGCATGGTACTTCGCTTCTTCTACGGGATCTGGAAGTTTCACTTCAGGCCAGGGGGGTGAAGTCAGGGATGTTTTGGCAACAAGTCTGTGAATGATAAGGTAAGATTCACTTGTAGCAAACAGATATTGTCAAGAGATGTAAAAGATGGAGGAGAAAAAGGTAAAAAGCTGGAGATGGAGTAGAAAGTGGTTTTCCACTGGGGGAGCAGAAGTTGTACAGGAGACTTAATTTGTCTCGACCCAAAGGCCCCTTGAGCCAGAAGGCAATTTCCCACACATCACGTTTCACTTCGCAGCACCTCATGAGCAAGGTGAGGTTTCCTATTCTGGTCCATTAGAGAGTAGCAGGCAAGCCAAAAGCCATGTTACTTCCCTAGGACTTAATCCAATGGAGGACACTGGATACGGCAAAGTCCCCAGACCTTCCTCCCAACACCTGGCAAAAGTACTCCAGCAGGACAAGAAATGCTGCAAAAGTGCTGAAGCTGCAGCCCCTATCAGAAGGCTGTTCAAAAACATGCAGAAAACACTTGGTCTCATTTCTGAGTTCAACCTGCAAATGCTCTACCAAACATGGTCACTGCTCCCAGGGCTTAACATCATTTAGGTCCACCATAAATCGCAGCAAGCTTAAAGAAAAAGGGATAGATGCCTCAGTGGTTGGTTTGCTTTACTCCCATCCTATCATAAAATTCAGTATGGGGAAATGGATTTTTTTTTTTTTTTTTTACTTCCCACTTCAGAATGTTATCTGAAATAGTTTGAAAGAAAGGAAGGGTGCAGAAAGAAACAGACTGAAAATTAACTGAAAATTCACCCAGGCTAGGTTATCACTTGTTCCTTATGTCGAGATCTGCAGCTGGATGTGCTCGTGGTGCTCAAGCTCAGCAACCACTGGTGACTTTCCACCGCCTTGTTTTTACAGACTGGAATTTTGTCACCAACTCCAACGGAAAGAGACTTACCTTCAGCCTTGCTTACAGCCCAGTTTCAGATAAAAGGCCCTTGTTAAGCTTTTCCAGGTACAGATACAAGCTACCTCCACCACAGCTGAGAGGCTGAACGCGTTAACACTCCTCAACCCACTTCAGCACCAAACACAAAGCTCTGAAGTTATCCCATAGCGGGGAGCATCCAGGAGGAGGCAACGTGCCTTTGATGGGGAAGCAGGGCTAATGAGCATTCTTAAACAAGCCTCCAGCGCTGCACATGAATGACTCACACGCATCCTTTTTTCCCCTCTATTTTTTGAAGCTCTTCTCTGTTAAATGGGTAGTTTAGAGAGGGCCTTAAGACCACAGCTGGGTTCTTTACAGGAGAGTTATGAGGCTGCTCTTCCTTTGTCACTTACAGCTGCATTCCCTGAATGGCAGTAATAACGGCTTCTTGCACCCCCGGTGCAATTCAGCATTTAACACCACAAACATTTAGCCCAAAAGCCTCTTCTGTGCCATTACCGTGCCTGTCATCAACGACACCACACTGGGGAGGGACTAGCAGAGGCATCTAAGAAGACTTCTCAGACCCATGCCTATCTTGGTTCAGGCTGACCACAGAAGGGAGCGGGAACATGCACCACCCCACATCCATCCAGCCAAGCACATCGTTCCTCACGATGACTTTGAGTACCAAGATATTTTGCTAAGAGGTGCAAATTAAATCCTTATTCTTCTTGAAAGGGTAGCTTCCACTGCTGTGGCAGAGAATCGCTTTAATAACATCTCTCTTCAAACACTCTGCAACTGTACCGCCAAGACAAGAGCCTCTCTGTTTCAAGATGTTGCATCAGTCCCTGCAGACCTTCCTGGTGACCAGCCCGGGGGACTCCTGAGCATCACCGACGTGTCCCTTTAGGATCATTCAGCACTGATACAATCATGGGAGCAACCACAAACTGCACTAGCACCTGAATGACAAATTCTGTGCAGAAGACATCTTACCTGAAGCCCGCTCTACTTTCTACACTTAGATGTTGCTCTCTCACTGAACATGGTATATGGCTGGCATAATGCGTGACACCTTCAGTTTAGCGAATAAACTGGGGGCCTGAAGGCAAGCAGGCTACAGTATAGATACAGAACGAAAGGCTGAAAACTGCCAGGGGTGTTTCACCTAGCAGCCAGCAACGTATTCTCATTAGGTGTCATGGTGGATTCCTTCTGCTTTTCTCAAGATTATCAGTGGGAGGGATCCTCTGCCTCAAAACTGAACTAATTCCTGACTGCCTCGAGCCCTGTACAGTCGGTACCGCAGGTACTCGCATGCATGTGCTGCCTTTCTTGACAGCGGCGCAGACAGCACTAAATCACGAGAACCCCGTTTAAAATGTCAAGAGCTGAACAACAATTAACGCTGCTCAAATGTGCCACAGGGTGTTAATTCAAATATGAAACACTACGTGAAACTCGCAGTGTGAGTTTGAGCGGAAAAAATGCAAGCGGCACTTGCTTATAATTAGCTGTTTTTCAAGATCTCTAGGACAAGGAGCAACAACAAGGAGGACCAGAGGCAGCTGTTTATATCTCTGCATAAGAGCCAGTTACAAAACTATCGATTTGTTCCCAAAGAACTGGAGAGAAAAGCACCACTTTAACCAGGGACAGTACTTTCGTCAGAATTGCGGCACACGTTTCAGGGGGCAGGGAAAGGAGGTGCAAAGCCCATCCTGCAGCATTCAGAGATTATCCTGACATGTGCCAAATGCCTTTACTCAGAAAGGGACACATGACCAAAAGGCATCAGATCATAGTCCCTTATTAAGCAAGAATCTAGGATACCACAAAGACAATTTTAGATTTGAAGAGGAGGGAGATTCACCCTGGATCTCAGTGAGGTGACCAGAAAGGTATCAGCGTCTGAAATTTGAAGAGAAGGGTTCTGCCCAGTAAATACCGTCTCCATCATGAATGGGAAGTTCAGAATTTCCTGTGTGTTGAGATCCACATTTTCTATAAATAACACGGGATTCGCAAACTGCATAAAATATTCAGGAAAAAACATTACATGCTAGTGAAAGAAGGCAAAATTAACACAACAGCAGTTGTGTTTCATCAGTTTACTCTGTGATGCCCAGCAGTGCCTCTCAAAGGGCTTTAATTTAACAGGAACTCAAAGCACTTGCGAGCAAGTATATAACCACAAGCACCAAGGCTTCGTGGGTCTGTCGCAGGGCTTAGAACTAATGCCAGGCTCTGCATCACAGAGCCAGAGATCCAAACTGTGCTCCCACACGCTTGAGGACCAGCGGGAGGAGGCCAGCCCCCTGCACCCTTCAGCAGCGCAGAGGGAACGAGCAAATCTTGCCATTTTTCCCCGATGCTGCTCACATGAGTTCTCTATTTCTGCAGTGTCCCCTCCTGGTTAAAGCAAGCAGCAGCACAGCCTGCAGCTCTGTCCAGGGACCTCTGCACGAGATCCCAGCGGAGGAAACAAAATAAAGACACAACCAAGCAGCTCTCAAAGCACCGAAACAAACGAAGCCTGAAGTTTCCTGGCTTAGAGTCCTGTAGCGCTTGGGCTGTTAATCAGATTTTATGAAGACTGCAGTGCAAGTTCAGTATTTACCAGATATCGGAGGCAGGAGATGAACCTTGCCCGAGGAGCAGACCGCCTGTACCTAAAAAGATGAGTGTCAGCTCAAGCCCTTTCTGCAGTCGAGGAGTTTGCAATGTCCTGACTTGAACAGCTCCTCTGCTGTGTACCTCGGGCTGAGCCCATACGGCAGCCCTTTTCTCAGCGGAGGATCTAATTATCTGTCTCTAGACTCCTCTGCTTAATTTCACAAATGAACAGAGGCATCCTTCTGGCAAAGGTGACTAAAGGTAGGCAGAGTCCAAAACTTATTGGGAAGCAACAGACTGACAAAGGACTCAGAGAAGCCTCCTTTCCAAAGGGAAAACAAGCTGCCCTTCCCACTCCCACCAAGGAAAATCACCATTTCAAGGGGCAAAAAGCAAAGCAGAAAGTCATTTGACATTACCCTTGTGGCAGTGACGTGCTCTGGGAACTCTGGTGCCGAACCGCTGATGAAAGCAAGAAGGCTAAAAGGGAGAGAAGGAAAAAACAATTAAAAAGAAGCAGCAAATGCTGGGCTTTTGGTCCCTGGTGAGGCAGCATTACAGCAATGCTGAAGTGTCACGGCGCTGGTCAGCTTCGTGGTACCATTTTTCTGCCTGTTAAAGCTTTGTTCAGTTTTATCGTGACAGGCAAAGACAAAGGGGGAAGCAAAACAAGATACATGATAAGACAAAGGACCGATCAGTTGTGTGCAGCATTGCAAGAGAGCACGAGAAAGGCCTCCCACTGCAAACACACTTATTTCAAGTGACACTTCCAGCTAGACACAACAATTTAATATGGATACACTCAGAGCATCCCACCTCTTTTGGAAAACAATGCGACTGAAAGGCAGAGAGCAGGAACAGGTAGCCTGAAGAGCGCGTGGTGCACCCTCTTAATTCTGAGCACAAACTGATGCTGCTGGAAGGATCCCCTCCAGCCCTCTGGGCCCTCCAAAAAGGGGAGGGGAGCGATTACAGCATTTACCAGGTGACTCTCAGCAACTTCTACTAAGCCTTACAAAGTTTCCACTCCAAAAAGAGAGAAGGAAGACAAGGTGTATTGCCAGCAACTCACTGGCACTGCAGCTCCCAAGCAGACAGGGCAATGCCAAGTGAAACA